AGCCTTTCTGCTCCTGTGATGCTGCTTGGCCTGCTGTGCTCATCCGGCTCTGCACCTTGTTGTCTTAGGTCTCTTTCTTGCTTGACAGACTGGTTTGAACCGTGCATGGTACAAACGTACAATATACCTGGAATTTACTACCACCTGATATGCATAAACAACACATTTCGTAAAGTACAGTATGTCATATAGATCCTGAAACTTTTAAATACCAAAGCTTAAACATGTTTGCAAAATATGTGTGGACTCCACCAGGAATTATGTAGACAGCAGGCAATCTGGAACCCATTTCTCAAAACCAACAGCTCAAACAGATCCCAAACACTGAACGATGCCAGAGCATGTCACAGTGCATGTACAGAACATTAACCCTCAACTAAAGCATCAAAACATAATCCTGGGTCTTGCACAGTTTCAGTCATATGTGATAGCCTCTGATCCAGCCAAACCTTAAGTATAACTGGCAAATTATTCTGACCCTTGTGCACTGTACAATGTACACTGTGCAATCTGTACAACATTCTGACTGTTCCATTGTATCCTGCAGTCCTCCACAAGTACATTACTGCAAACTGTATCAGGACTTCATAAACTGTACAGGTGTAATTTATATTCTAAAGCAAAATTAATTTAAAAAGATTCTGAAACAAAATAGTGCTGATGTGCTAGACTGTTATACTGTCAGTATCAGATTTAAGACGTCGTTAAACTGATATCTAAACTTCTTTTGACAACCTGGAAGAAAATGGCAACTAAGTATTCCATCATAAAACTACAGGTAGCTGCTTTAGGAAATAGAGTAAACAATGTAATGCAGGAAATTTGAAAGCTCGGTCATGGGCTTTTTGAGCAATGTTGAAATACAGTCTATGCAGACAAACAAAAGAGCCTTGCATACTTTCAAAGGCAAGGGATCAATATTTTCCCCTTTATCACCTTCAGCTTAATAACCCAGTTTTATAAGGTCAATCCCAGCTGACTACACACACAGCAAAAAATCACTCACTAATTCCTTTTTTCATTTAGTAGACAGACCACAAACCTCTCGTCCCTGTAGTACATTTACAGACATTTCTGCTCGAGTCAATGATGGGGTTTTTGCAAGACTGAAAGCCAAGTAAAATTTAACAAGGAACTTAAAAATCATCAATGTTTTCTTTTATCCTTTTCAGTACATTTTGAGTCAAAAAAACAGCAAAGAAAAATCTGTAGCTCATTGAAGTTTTAATGAGAACCTACTTGTGAACACAGACAGACATTGACAATGTTTTATTTCACACTATAAAGTTTAAAAAAAAAGAGTAATTTATTATTGCTGGAATCAGGCATTTCCATTTAATGGTTCTACATTTTTTTACAAATCAAAGCTGAAATAACAAGAATAATTTATATTCCAAAGCTGAAAATTACTATTTTGGAATCAGTCCACAAAGCAAGGTGTGTAAACCAAAGAACACAAACTATCTGGCCACTCCAAAATCAAACTTTTGCAAGGCTGTAATTTTTAAAAAAAATTTCAATTCTTAATTATGTTCTAAAATACGTCAATTAAAAATAAACTGAGGTAAACTCATTTGTTTGTTCGGTAAGAATGCCTCAAGATTCCTAAATTGTAAGGGTAAATGTAGAGATGAAAACAAATACAGCTTATAAAAAGAGAAGAAAAAAATGTTTTTGCTGCTAGTCATCATTCAAACCTTTGATTATGGTGGTAGAAGTGAAAAAATTAGACAGCTTCACAAAAACTGAGATGTCCTTCAAAACAAAAAGAAATGCTACAAAGTAATAATTTGGAAATGTCTCTTTTCCATTAGTGGTCACAAATAGGCCCAATCAGCTCCAAACACAAAGGAAATAAACAGGAGCACCAAGTAAATGTGCAGTTGGGTTATACCTGCTTGCTACCAGTTTGCAGCAAGGTCACATTTGTAACTTTGCAATGTAATGCGCTACAAAACTAGAATCCAGAAGGCGGATGAACGGTATGTCCAAAATTCTAGATCACTGCAACTCTAAAACTGAGCCATTACATCATCTGACCATTCAATAACCATAGTGTTACATGTGGTAGAACTTTAGTTCCAGTTTAGGTTTCTGTACAATGTTTTACACTACTACAATGGTAAATTCAATATCAAAAATTGCAGTGAATCAGCAACTGTCAATTAAGCTAATATCCCTTGGATGATTCATTTCCTAGGCATAGACCTCATAAGTCAGATAGTTCTCCAGTTTCTGGGGCTTGAAAGACATAGGAACAAGAAAAAGGGTGAGAAGATTAAGTTAAAGCAATTGGCACTAGGAACAATTGTGCAACAACGAGATGCAGTGATAAGTTAAGCGAGATATATGGGCAACAGAGCTTTAGAGGAATTGAAATGGTATAGGTTAGACAACTAGGAAGGTATTGGAATAAATCGAGTATGGAAATATCTTGGGAAGGATGAGGGTTACAGCTGCGAACAGACAAAAAAGGGAGGGCTGGAGACAGGTGATGTCTTACAAGTGAGAGCAGGCAGTCATTCTGATGGAGAGATATGGGATCATGTGCTTAAATCAGGATCAAATTTAATGTTAAGGCTGCAAACAGTCCAGTTTTAGGGAAATACATAGCTAGGTTGGGCAGGTGAATACAATAACTTTGATCTTCCTAATATTACATTGGAGGAAACTGTGATCCATTCAAGAGAATATTGAACAAATATTCTTATAATACAGGAATGAGAAAGGAGTCAGGACAAATGGCGAAATTATAGTCCATCCTTGCATGTGGATGCTAACCTCATGCATGTAGATAAGGAAGGAAATGATGTTGGTCAAGAATAGATCCTGCAGGAACAGGCATTGCTCTAGCTGCATTTGAATAAGTGAGTAGAGGGAAGCAAGGGTAGTGCTACTAAAATGAATAATGGAAAAGGGGTGCCATAGAAGGATGGCATGATTGAGCATCTCCAAGGCTGCAGGGCAATCAAAGAGTCAACATACGTTGTGAACAGAGAATATTATCTGATATTTTTAATTTGGCCGTCTCAGTGCTGTGACAGAGAACAGAAACACAGTTGGAGATAGTAGAACCGAGTTGTAGATTTGGGAGAGAACAACTGTTTCAGGAACTTGAGTTGAAAGGAAAGTTGTAGATGGGGTAACAATTCGCCAGCACAAAGGAATAAAAAAGGTGAGCTTTTGGAGGTAGTGGTGATAAAGAGGAGGTGGACAGTGGCTTAAAATAACTAACTATCTACCGATGAAGGGTCTAGGCCCGAAACGTCAGCCTCTCTGCTCCTATGATGCTGCTTGGCCTGCTGTGTTCATCCAGCCCTGCACCTTGTTGTCTCGGATTCTCCAGCATCTGCAGTTCCTACTATCTCTAACTATCTACCTCGGCTATTTTGTAGACCAGGAATACAATTAATTAACCTAGAATAGAAGGTTAGTCCCATTAATAATGATTATGAAACAACTGAATTGCATAAAAATCCATCAGATTCACTCGTGGCTTTTAGAAGAGGAAATCTGGCCTTCACGCAACTCCAGACCCACAACAATGTGGTTGACATCTTCACACCATTCAATAACCACAGTGTTCCATGTGGTGGAACTGTAGTGGGGAACAATAGCACTTGTGCATCACTTTTCCTCCCTGGCTGCACCCTATCAGGATAAATCTCAAATTGATAACTGCAAGAAACAATTCAATCAAATTATGCAAATAAATTTGACAACTGGCCATTCTTAAGGATTTTAAGGTGGATGAAAACATACCCGCGCAAGAAAGATTTAAAACATGCAATTCTGAAGCATGTTTAATGTTGAGAAACTTGCCAATGCATGAAAGAAAATCCTTAAAAAGCCTGCCTTTGATGTTTCTAGCCTAGGGCTTAACTGGGATTGCTTTCGTGATGCCTAAGACTTGATTATTCGTCAGTTTCCCCCCCCCGCCCCCGTATTAATATCTGCACTCCTGATTGTGTTCAACATGGATTACAGCCAAAGTTGCCCCTCTCCATTTCGGCTTCAGAAGACAAATTAGGACCACCTCCCTAAATCTAGCATATTATCAACACAATTTGAACACAGAGCTTCCAAACTGTCATAATTTAGTGTGTAAGATCCCCTCTCCCCTAGAATAGCAACAGAAAAATAGTAATATCACTTACAGCCAGAAAAATTAGTAATGACAATAAGTGTGTTTTGTTTTGTTCAGAAACATAATATTATCCATGACTTTGGAGCTGCAACTGAATTAGTTGATAGGCTAACATTTTTGCTGATGGAAGTTAAACAGCTTTGCTGTATATCTCAGAAATACCATATTACGTGTCCTGCCATACTATACATGATATATAGATGCAACATTCATCCTGACGTTTGAAACAAAACAAACAAAAAAAAAAAAAAAATCAACAAATTCTTTAGAAATTTGAAACATTTTGCTCTTGGTCTCAGCAAAGTCAAACGTCAGTCAAGTCATTTCTGTGATTACATTCAGCATGCATAAATCCATAATAAACAATTTCCCGACTTGTACAACACTGTCATGATGAGAAATGTTGCAAGTTATTCTAGCAAACAAGATCTTTCACATGACAGTGAACTGCAGCACCAAAGACAATTCAGTCACAAATGACAAGTGACCAGAGGTTCAGTCTTGGGTTTACTGCTGCATGGAAGCAAGTGGTTGAGCTTGAAAACATTTTCAATGCAAATCTCACTTACCTCAGCAGAAAATAGGCAATAAAAAGTTAGGAACAGAGGGGAAAAAAACAGATCAAGTGACAGTACAAGTAGTCTCCTCTGCCTCAATATCATGGCAATATGTCGGAACTCCAGCATTGAGCACACTGAAAATTTTCACATCAGGAAAACCCTACCAAACCCACATTGCCAATTTACCAATAGAATTATTGTGTTTGCTACTACAACTGCACTTTGATTTTGCAAAGGTACAACTTTAGGAGTCATACCAGGACATTCTTGCCACAAAAAGAGGGATTAATATCCAGCCGTTAATTTCTTTTTAAAAAAAGTACCTGGGGAGATTAGGAGCAGGACTCGGTGAAGATGAGGACGTCAGGGATGTTGTTGTCACTGTAGTTGTTGACACCTCTTGTGTTCTAGGAACTCTTCCCATTCTGTACCAGACTCCCATGTTGTTCAGTTCCCTGAATATTACACGAAAATAAGTTACTTTTTATCAGAAACACATTTGGTTGCTTTAAAAAATGCAGTGCCACTATCTTCACTGCAATGCCACTATCTTCACTGCAATGAAAGCTATTCCAATTTTTCTGTGAACTGTGAAGTGTCATGATAGGCTAAATATTAAAATTTACTTAAGTTCATGGAATTTTTATACTGTCAACTAGGCTTCTAAGCAGTGTACCAGTAAAGGGTAACATAATGTTGGTGCTTCCTTTGAAACTAGGAATTACATACAAAGTGGACAAAATGTAAATCTGACGCAAACACTTCATTTACGATGCTCACACCTTCACAGCTTGTTCTAGACTGGACCCAAAGCTCAGCCTCTCCACTAACCTGACCAGCTCTCTTAAAGGGGCAGCACACTCAACGATGTTCACAACACCCTCCCCCTTTTTTTAGAAACTTCCGTTAATAAGCATATATACAACAATTATAACTACTATTCAAGAATTGTAGTTAACATATATGCATCAGGAATGAATACAAAAAAAATGGAAAAACAAAAATGACCCTTCCATAATTTACAATGACTTTCAGATGGATGGTGATTCCTCGAAGACCATCTCCTAATCTCAGCAACTTTTTCCAGTGTAGTCTTCAGGAAGCTCTTGTTGTTCCATGGCTTGGCTGTTGTTGCCCAGGGATGGTGCGGTTGTCTCCCCCTGAGGGGAATGGCCAACTCTGGCAAGGAGACACCTGGACCGAATCGGTATTGTAAGGCCACTCCTCCACACCAACCCCACCCACCCTGCCCTCTGCTGATGAAGGGCAGCAACCAGTCAGTCAGCCTGTCTCCTCCAAACTCGTTCATCCATAGGCTGCACCACATATGACAACAGTCCCAATTGAGCTCCACTTCTCCCCAGATGTATAACTTCCAGGCTAACACAATCTCTCCATTTTGCAATATCCTTGGGCCTCGAGGTTCCCACCTTCCCGGCCAACTGACCACCTTGATTTCGCTTGACCACCTCTCTGGTCTCTTCTAGCCTCAGTAAATCAAACACAATTCTTAGCTGAACATTAAGGAGGCCAGCAAATACTGGATCATCACGTGGCATGTTCCTCAACACGCTTCGGAACTTGTTGATTCGCTGTCCTAGCAAACCCTCTCCTTGTGAAGCCTTTAAGGCCTGCGTCAACAGTTGACTAAATCTCTCTGCCCGGTCACTTGTCGCAAAGTGATACAGAGCTGATCTCACGTGTCTGACTCCGTGATTTTCCTCCAACTCTTGCGCCACAAACTGAACCACTGTCACTTGTGACCTGGCAAATATTTCATCCAGCTAGTTAATCACTGCTTCTGCTGATGACCGCCAGCTCAGGCCACTTGGAGTGGACATCTATGACCACTAGCAGCATCCGTTCCTGCAAAATCAACATGAATCCACTGCACGGTGTATGAGGCTGTTCCCATGGGTGAAGGGGCAATAACAGCAGTGCCATCCTTACTAACGTGCAGGATTCGGATGATCCCGTTCTTGCCTCAATCTGCAAGTCCACTTTCAGCCACCAAAAAAACCTCCTGGTTATCTCCTTCGTTCTCACCACATCGGGGGTGCCTTTGTTCCAGCATCTTTCCCATTAATGGGGGAGGGATAACAACTCTCATTCTCCACATTAAACACACGCCTGATATGGACAATTTCCACCTCCTGGACACATAAGGGTGTAGTTCTGGGCAGTTTCCGTGACTGATCCTCTTTCTTGGAACTAAGTCCACCACATGGCTCAAAACCAGGTGGTTCCGAGTAATATTCCGCACCTGACCTGCTGACACCAGCACCTTGTCATCTTGGGAAAAGTAAATAATTTTCAGGTTCCAGTCATTAGTGGCAGCCTTGACAAAGCATCTGCATTACTGTGCTTCTCCACCTGTCTGTATTTGATCTCATATGGGAGGGTGACAGCACCAGCGTCCATCTCTGCAGTATGCAGCCACCATCAATAGTATCCTCACATATAGGCTAAAAATGGAGGTTAGGGGTCTGCCGTCAGAGAGTAGCTCTAAGAGCCTGTCATAAAGGAAACAGATGAATTTCTTACTGCAGAAGATGATGCTCAATCTTTCTACTCTGACTTCAGCATAATTCTCTTCAGGCTTTGTTAGTGACCTCAATGCAAATGGGATGGGCATTACATCTCAGTTTGGCAAGACGTGTGACTGTGCAGCAGCTACCGCATAAGGCGAGGTGTCACACGCATATTGAAGTGGCAACTTTGGGTTGAAATCAGTCAACACTTCCGACCTTTTTAGGGCTTGCTTCAGCACCTGGTAAGCCACCTCATATTCCCGAGTCCATTTTCACAGCTGCCCTTGTCCCAGTAACTGATGCAAGAGATTTTAGCACAATTGCCAGATCAGCCTAGAACTTGACATAATAATTTCCAAGACCCAAGAAAGATCTCAATTGAGGAATCTTGTCTGGTCTAGGGGCCTTCATGATAACCTTCATCTTCTTGGGAACCTTGTGTAGTCCCTCACCATCAATTACAAGGTTCAAATACTCAATGGAATTTTTAAAAACTTGTAATACTCTCTTTTTACTTGTACACCCTGCTCCTGCAGCTTTTTTTAAAAAAAAAGGAGTTCCTTTTAAATTTTTCAAATGCTTCTCTTCCAAGGATCCATCAATCAAAATATTGTCCAGATAACACTGGACATCTTGTAACCCAATTCATATGTGATCCAAGGCCCTCTGGAACATAGCTGGTGCTCATGTGATGCTGAAAGGAAACTGCTGATAGTGGAGCAGTCCTGCGTGTCACTATTGTCAGAGGTGGCTCAGACTCCTTCATGACCCCCATTTGTAGACAGACCTTGAGACAGATCCGTTTTTAAAAATTTGTCCCCTTCCAGCCCAGTGAATAGGTCTTCTATGCATGGAAGGGGGTATTGATCCGGTCTCAGAGCTGGATTGACTATGACCTTAAAGTCACCACCACTTCTTATCATGCCATCTGTTTTTTAAGACAGGAAAGATTGGACTGGCCCATTCACTGGTGGTTACTGACTCCAATGCTCTCAGATTCATCAGCCATTTCAGTTCTGCCTCCACTTTGGACCGGATGGTGTACGATAATGGACGCACCTTCAGCCTCCTAGGACAAGCCGCTGGCTTCAGCTGTAATTTAATTTTGATTCCTTCCTTTTCCCTCAGGGTTCCTTTGAAGACATCTTTGTACTTGTCCAGGATCACTTTCAAACTCTTGTTTGAGTCTGCCAGCCTATTAACCCTATCCTTGTTCAACCTTAATTTTTGTAACCAGGAGCATCTGAATAATGCAGATCATTTGCTTTTTACTAAATAAAATGGCAATTCTGCACACTCATCCCTTAACTGCACTTTACCCAGTACATAACGCTTCAATAGCGCCACTTGTTCTGGGTATGTCTGCAGTATAATCTTGGCTGCTTTTAATGGTACTACCTTTCCCCTATAGACTCATTCAGGAATCAAGGACATCACTGGACCCATGTCCACATCCATTTTTTACTGCCTTTGCCTCTACTTTGGGAAAACCCCAAAAATGATCAGCTCCGCCCCAAACCTACAGGATGTTTAACTGAACCTCTCCTGACTCCGGGCCTTCTGCTTCTCCTACAGGTCCAGCTGACTCCCGGTCTCCACCCTGGCTGGCAGCATGTACCTTATATGCCCTGTCCTCAGGGTTATTTCTTTCTGGCTCCCCTTCTCTCGTTTGGGTTGTACCTGGCAGTTTCGGGCAATATGACCCACTCACTTATTCATGCAGCACTGGGTTTCCCAAATCCAAAACGTTGACTCGTTGCAGCCATTTGACGGTTTGGTAGCGCACTTTGCCGAGTTTGTACTACCTGACGCACCAGGGTGTCATCAGCCAAGTGGGTTGCTTTACTAACAACCAACTCCATTGAGGTAGCAATTTCTAAAGTGACCCTGAAATCTCCTTTGTACTAGCTTCTGTTCAATGGCCTCATGTCAGAGGCCACAAACCAAAGGTCCTGTCAGGCACGTTGTACGAATCCTCCAATTTCAGTGTTCTGCAAACCTCTTTAAGGCAGCCACAAATTAGGCAATGGACTCTCCTTCGTGCTGTACCCATTTGGGAAATAATTTTCTAACACTTCACATAGCAATTCTGCGGAGTCTGGTACAACCAGAGAAGACATTCCAAGAGCTCACGATGGTGTTTAAAAAAAAACAATACCATGATGTCCTCAGACACCTTTTTCACCTTTAAGAACTAATTTAAGTGTTGTATGCATGAAATCCAATTTTCTGACTCTTCATTCAACAGTCTCATCACCTCAAATATTCTCCTGCTACTTCTGTCTAGTAGCTATTGCAGCCCAAGTCCCCCTCAGCAAATGCTCCAGCATAGGCCGCTCCCTCACCAGCTGTGTTAACATATCATTCCACCCTGGCATCGCCCATAGCCAGAGTCTCCTCACGACCACACTCTGCGACGACTTCAGTAGCTCCCAGCTACATGCTCTCTTCTACAGCTGTTGGTCAGAGTGCTGCTCTCAGCTCACACACCGCTGAGTATCTTCTTTCCTGGCACCAATCACAGCCCGAGCCCCCTTGCAATCGTTACGCCATTTCTGAAGTCCAGGCAATGTCTCCTCCACATTAAAAAAAACAGCATTTGCACAGAGTTTGTAGGCTGGATCCAATCCTGGTAGCTGGTTGTCATGTTGATCCTTCTTTTGAAACAAGGAATTATGTAACAGGCAGACAAATGGTAAAAGCGAACGGGAACGCTTTATTGATGATCCTCACACCTCCACAGCCGGTTCTCGGCTGAAACCAAGATCTACCCCTCTAGGACCCCTGACCAGCTCTCAAAAGGGCAGCAACCGCAACTACATATATAACAGGTCACACTTGAAACGTTTAGTTTTCTCTTTCAGATGCCAATTTACTTGCTGTACATTTCTAGCATTTTCTGCTTTTGGAAAACTTCATTAAAC